TTCTCTTTCTCTTTCTCTTTCTCTTTCTCTTTCTCTTTCTCTTCTCTTTCTCTTTCTCTTTCTCTTTCTCTTTCTCTTTCTCTTTCTCTTTCTCTTTCTCTTTCTCCCTCTCCTTCTCCTTCTCCTTCTCCTTCTCCTTCTCCTTCTCCTTCTCCTTCTCCTTCTCCTTCTCCTTCTCCTTCTCCTTCTCCTTCTCCTTCTCTTTCTCCTTCTCCTTCTCCTTCTCCTTCTCCTTCTCTTTCTCTTTCTCTTTCTTTCTCTTATCTTTCCTCCCTTCCTTCCTCCCTTCCTTCCCTCCTTCTTTCTTTCTCTCTCTACTTCTTTTGCTTTCTCTCTCTCTTTCTCATTCCCCTCCTCCCTTGTTCTCTTTCTTCTCTATCTTTCCTTCCTTTTCTTCTTTTTTCCCTTTCCCCTTTGCTTCTGCATCCAAAACATTCAAAAGCAACCTTTTTAAAAGATATATGTATATATTAGTGACAAAAAATAAAGTAGAAAATCTGTCACTAGATGTTTAAAATATTAGGGAAGTCACTCTTGAGTTAATATATTCTTATTGATGTATTACTAGAAAAGAAGCGTGATTTATTTATATGGGATACAGTATAGCACTTAGGTGCAGGATGTTTTGATTACTGCTAACACCTATCGCTTTTTTTGAAGTCGGACAAAATATTTATTATGTATTTTTAATATACATTTGAAACTTATCTTCTCTCCTTTGATATCTTCCCTGAATATGCCAAGAGATAGATAGCAGTGCAGTAGTAGTTCAGCACTCAGATCAGGGTAAAGAAAACCTTGCATTTTCATGCTGGATTTCCTTTACTATCAATCTTTAAATCCTTGAATAATTTGGTCGCTTTAAAAAGAGAGAGAGCGAGAGAGAAGGGAAGAGAGAGACTTGACTACAATCATCTGCACAGGTAATTGGAATCATCTTAACAGGAGCTGGAAAACTGAATAAACGGGTGTAGAGCTGAGTTGAGATTTGAGCCGCCCTTCAACTGGGAAATAAAAACCACCGTCAAACACTCCAGACTCAAACCCCAGCTGACGGGAACTCTGCCTTTCTTCCAGCTAACGATCTCTGCTTCTCGGAGGTCAGCTCTCGGATCAAATCCGAAAATAATTAATCCGAGAGACGAAGACCTAAACACCGACAGCGGGAGTCGGGCAAGAGTTTACAAACCCACCAGCATTCTCCAGGAATGGGCTGGGAAACGCCGCGTCCCCCTTCTCCCCTCAACCCTTCCAGTCCCTGAGCCCGAGCCCAGCTCCGGCCGCGGCGGGGCGAGGCGGGGCGGGCGCTACGGGAGCTGTCCGTTCAGCACCACCGCGCTCCGGCCGCTGCAGCCGGCCCGGCCCCGCCGCTGCCCGACTCCCCGCTCAGACAAAGCCGCTCCGCGCTGTCCTTTTCCACCCTGATCCCAGTCATTGTGAGTCGAGAACACCCCCGAAATTATGATGATGCTGAGCTCCCGGTCAAACTCTCTTTCGTACAAGGGTATAACCGCGTGTACGCCTTCTCTTTATCTGCGCTCGCTCCCTACACGCTTGTGTCCCTACACTGCGACCGTGAAGTTTGCCTACAGAAGCGGTGGCTAAAGTCAATTATCTGTCACCGAAGTATAAAATCGTCTAAAATATCTTCTAAATATTTTTTCCCCCGTTTTTTCTTTTTCTTTTTCTCCCTAAGAAAAGACAAGAGTGGAGCAAGAAATGCGTATTCCAAGAGGCTGAGTCACAAAGTGTACTTCCTCCGACTCTGTCATTCCTTTTATACTACGAACAAAAGCGTGATTTTAAGCTTGTTAGAAGGTGTTCTCTCGTCAGGCCCTTAGACTGCTATTGTTTCTTTTCAAGATATATGATAATAATAACAACAATAACAAAATACAGAACAGTCAGGTCCCGCAAATGAGTGACGAAATGCGTATATAGCGAGAATTCCGAATCATTCTTCTAATTTGAGATACTTTCACTGACAGATACTTATCAAAGTTCACAAACGAGTTCCACACTGATACGTAGCTCTATTGAAACGTTTCCAAAAACCTTCCTTTCCCCTATACGAGACGAAACTGCCTATTTAAAAATCCGGCGCCAGCGAGCACGTTTCTCAAACTCATTACCAGGGATCAATTCAGTTAAATGGGAAATGAGAGAATGAGTCAAGAAAGCCCTGCATTCAACGGGAGTATCCGAGAGCTACTGATAAACAAATCACGTGTAAAGTGCAAATGGACTGTGAAATGTGAAGTGCTCTAAGCTACTTTAAACGTATTTGGGACAAATGTCAAATGCTCACAATTTCGGCAGTAAAAACTAACTAAACATTGGAAGAGGGACAAAGAGAGAAATTGAGAGGGTTTCAGCTTTACAAATATTGATAGACGCAGGTATTTGTAACATCTTACCTCTTCTTATCACACCACCTTGTCCGTTCAGTACAAGTCCACACTGGGCCTCCACTGAGCTCTTAAGTAACGAGGAAAAATAAAAGAAAAAAGAAAGAGGAAAAAAAAAAAAAAAAAAAAAAAAAAGGAAAGAAAAAAAATCAGATACAGAAACCCACAGACGGATCACTTAGCTTTTGCTTTGTTACACGATTTGCTCAAGAACAATACTTAGAGTGAGCTAGGAAAACATAGTTATTCTCATCCAACTCAAGCGGTCTGGAGAAATCACACCGCCATCCTGCAGTCTGTCCCTACCCCACGAAATGCAGAGCAATTATCACTTTTCCTTCTGTTTAAATAGGAGTTTCTTCTGGATTGGGAAGTAAGTCGACAGTTACATGGGCAGAATAGAGGGACAACTTAATACCCTCGCAAACAGAGTGTGCTCGTACTCTACATTTGCACGCACAGTCATAAAAATATGCATGTATATATATATATACACACACACACACACTACTAAATTCATAAGTATGTTTAGTGACACAAACGTACCGACTTAGAAAGTGTACGTGGAAGTACACAAAGAACACAAACGACAGAAGACCTACCGAGCTTTGCCGAATATGCAAAGTCGTGTGAGTGTAACAATAGGGCTGAGGAATCGAGTCTCTGTGCTTATGTCCGCATAGGTGGGGATGAATAGGATGAATATGCATCTATGTGCACAAACACCGGCACCCATGTGTGAGTGTGGCATGATGAACCTTCCAAAAGCCTGTCTACTGCTTCTGGTGCACATCTGAGGAGATCTTAGTTCTTTATTCTCCTGTTATGAGTCTTATTATGTGGGGATCCTCGCCCTCCATAATAAATATTTTTATTGGAATTATAAAAGACTTGAAAAGGTTGGGTTTTCTTTGGGTTTTCCTTATGTTGGGGGTTAAAAAAACACAACAAACCAAACCTAAATCTTTGCCCAGTGGAAATGTGTTAAAGACGCATTTTCCTCTACAAACAAACGAGGTATTGGACATGAAAGAGGCCTTTAAGGGTGTTAACCTACTCAACAGCCCGTGAAGAGTTAAGTAAATGCGGAGAGAGTCGGTGCATAATAAAAACCCCACTTTACAAAACAACCTTTACAGTCCTGGCTCTCTCCCCCACTTTCACCATATTGGCGCTGGCCCTGTAAGACCTTCCTTTTCAAGGCTCTTTTTTATTTTAAGTGTTCTGCCTTAAAGTGATTATGAAATCAATATGAAAAAAACTTGGCGACTGAGCATAAATTAAAGCGGTGATGGGAAAAGGTGTGACAGTTTTCTTTGTTGCCCATGGAAAATCTTTTTAGGGCACTGAAAGATGCCACTCCAGCTCCAAGACTGTTTGCATCTGTTAGGCTGACTTAAACCGCCCTCGAAACTATTGGACATTCACTTAAAATTCTGTTCAGGGAAAAGTATATTTACATTTGTTGCATTTGAAATGAGGCATATGCTGATGAACGTTTTAAAAAGAAAGACCAAGGGGAAAGAGAGAAGGGTGGTTATGCTACAGTTTTGCTTTAAAATGGTTTGTGTTTCGTCCTGATTCTACCCGTCCCCAAAAAGCTTCCCACCGAGCCCAAGGTGACAGTCGCAAGCGTCTAAGTTTGTTCTGAATCCGCCAAATCATAAAGATAAATATTAATATTCTCAGCTTCTCACCGCTCAGGCTTTTCGATACCCTAACACACTTCCCTCATCTGCTCGGGAAAAGAGGGAGGAGGAAAAATAAAGCAAAGATTGGGTACAAAGACGTTAAATGGGGAAATGAGGACATTGGTTCTCAAATAAAGTGTGATCGAAAGAACAGCGTTTTCGAAAGAAATCCTGTTTATTTTTTTCTTCTTTAAATAAACAACAACAACAACAACAACAAAGAATGCGCCTCTAGCAGCTTAACCAACCTCCCTCCCTCTCTCTCTCTCTTTTTTAAGGGAAACATGTTGTTTGGTCGGATGACATTGCATAAATGACCAGTTGAATGGCACTAAGTCGAAAATTGGATAAACTATGGTGCTTTTTTGCCCGGGACTTAGGCATTGTCTGCTGTCTTGCAAACGTTCCTAATCCCCTCTTTTGAAAAATACAAGGCTTTGTGCCTGCCAATGAAAAAAAATTTGTACAGATACAAAAAAATCAGCAGCAGACGTGGTTATAAAAAGGAGTAAATAGGTTTTAGTTGGGCTGAGCAGTGAATGGCAGGCTTCTTTTTTTTTTTTTTTTTTTTTTTAAGGGAGGTAACATAAGGAGATCCCTAAAAATGCCCGGAGAGAGAATAATAATAACTAATATATATATATAGTGAACTTTAATGGAGAAAGTCAGGTTTAAATAGTTAGGGTTTTCCTCCTCGGAGATATAAGATAATGTTCTTTGTTGTTGGGTTGTTGGGTTGTTTTCCTCCTTCAAAGCAAAAAAAAAAAAAAAAAAGATTTTGTTTTCCCTCTCCAATGTGAATGGAGTTTCTGGGATGGTTTTTGTTGGTAATGGTGGTGGTTGTTTGGTTGATTTTTAAGAGAATAAAATAAGCCTTTCTTAATTTTACAGAGTTCGGGTTTTTTGACCGCTACGTATTTGTGGAAAGAACAACGTAGCGAGCTTTGTATGACTGGAAGCCAGATTTGGGGGAAAAGTAAGTACAGTAAATACGGTCCTATTCGTCTCTTCCGCTGTTTGGGGAGCTTTAGTTCCTCAGCTCGTCGGAAGAAAGAAGGTTTGCTTTTGATTTGGGGGAGTTCTCGAAATGGGTGTTATTTACAGGAGGGCGTTGTTAGCGATTTTGGAAACAACGTTCATTGAGTTACCAGCTTCATTTTTTTTTTTTTTTTTTTTCAGTTCAAGGACTTCTGAGCTGATAAAGCTGAGGTTAAAATACACAGATACAGAAATTTCTGATGGGTCAAGGTGCCGATTAGAGGGGGAGCAGATGAATGACTAAATACATCGTTAGATGAATTCAGCTTTATCAGCGTCTCTCTTTCTCCCTGTTAACACATAGATCGGATATTGCGAGGAATTTTTAACCTACTGACGAACATTTGCTCCCCTTTCTTTCTCCCCCACCTCTTGCCTCGGACTTTCCCTTTGTATGCACGTCGGAAAGCGACCTTTTTTCCCTGACCTTCCTTTTCCCTCTTTTCCTCCTCCATCCTTTCCTTCCCTCATTTACCTGCCCTGTCGCTGCAAGTTATTTGAACGCTCCCGTTCACCGAACGAAAGGAAAAGTTTAGGAAAAGCGGGAAGACGGCTTTGATTCGGTTTAGTTTGAGTTGCCGGTGCCTTTGCTTACATCTGACACACTTACACACACGCAGACACACACACGCACCCCGGGATCTCCGTTCGAGTCCCACGCTCTCAGCCTACATCCAGCGCGAGTTTTTTTTGTTTGTTTGTTTGTTTGACCAAGGAAGACCGCTTGTTTTTTGGTTTTTGTTTGTTTGTTTGTTTGTTTGTTTCCATATTTTTCTTGCTATTCTTCTGAAGGGGAAGGGCTCCGGATCGGTTTTTTTTTTTTTTTTTTTTTTTTTTTTTGGATGAAGCTTCCCTTCTTTGTATGAGCTACAGAGAGCTGCTCTGAGCAGAGGAAAATGGGGAGGGTGGGGGGGTGGGGTGGACCGGGGCAGGGGGAGGGGAGAAGAAGGTGCCTCGAAAGGAGATCGCATGCTATTTACCTGCAAATCGTCTGCTCCCGAGGCTGCAAGCCCGAGGCTTGGTCCTGGCAGGAGTCTTTGATCTGGATGCATCCCATATTGGGACCCATGGCTCATAAGAGACAGGTCGTGGCGGCGGTAAGCATCTAAGCACCCCAGCTCTCTCCTCTGCTCGTCCAAGCAGGAGGATTTGAGCGCCCGCGCATTGTGCAGGTTGATAAAATCAGTGGGTTCCCCATGGTGGATCTGCTGGTAGTATTGCTGGGAGTGGTGGAGAGAGTTCAAGGAGTAAGCGTCGGGGTTGACTGCCGGGTGGCTGTGTTGGAACTCGTAGTGGAAGGACTGGTGGTGCAGTGGGGTGTACTGGTGGTTAGTGGAGAAGTACGGGGAGGCGAACTCGGTGCCCGTGGTAGAGTAAGTGAGAGGAGACGAGGAGGAATAGGCGACGGTCGAGTTGGCCACGGACTCCAGGCATCCAAGCTGCATCAAACGGTAACTGTTTGATCCGTCATGACGTATCTGAAAGGAAGAAGTGAAAAGAAGACCCCAAAACTGGAGGTTTGTCATTTAAAACCCCGGCTGCGGTTCTTCCAAGCACGCTGTCCTGCATAGCTTCTCCCCCTGCAGAAGCGTCTCAGCCTGCAAGCTGCAACCCCAGCAACAAAAGATCCTTTCCTACCTTGGGCTGGTGCCATAAAGGTCTGTTCAAAAAACCAGAAACAGCCCAGCCTGCCCTTAATACCGCCACGCGAAAGGGATCCGCGCGCTGAAAAAAAAAAGATCTATCTGTCCATCCACCCCTCCATCCACCCCTCCATCCATCCATCCATCCATCCATCCATCCATCCATCCA